AAACTGGAAACAACCCAAATGTTCAGGTGAATAGATAAATTGTACTACATTTATACCAGAACATTACTTAGTAATAGAAAGGAATAAACTAATGATACAACATTGATGAACCCAGAATAATTTTGCCAGATTAAATAATTTTTCCAGTGAAAGCCAGACGAAAAAGAGTACACACCGTATAATTCCATTTGCATAAAACTCTGGAAAATGTAACTAATCTATAATGACAGAAAGCAGATCTTGGGATAGGGAGCAGAGAGGGATAGGAGGGAGAGATTACAAGGGGGCACGAGGAAACTTTTGAGAGTGATACATATGTTCACGATTCTGATTGTGGTGACAGTTTTATATATATAGTACACTTTAAACATGTACAACATATTTTATGTAAATTATACCACAATAAAGCTATAAAAAATTTAATTTGAATCTGAAGAGAGTAAGACTAGCTTGAATACACCCTATTACATAATTATTATTATTTTTTTAAGAGACAGGGTCCTGGCATGTTGCCCAGGCTGGAGTACACTGGCTATTCACAGGTGCAATCACAGCACACAGTTACAGCCTTGAACTCCTGGGCTAAAGCTATACTCCTGCCTCAGCCTTCCAGCTAACTGGGACTACAGGTGCTGGCCACTGTGCCTGGCTCAGTCATTTTGCATTCAATTGCAGTTTATATTTCAATTCCTAAGAAACCTTCACAGAATGTTCTGATACTCTGGATATAGCCTTCGGAAATTTATTTCATAAGTCCCCAAACAAACACAGTTAACTTTGGGAAAGAGCATTTAAGCCAATGTTTTGCTTCTTTTTGTAATATTTTTCTTTCTTTTGCTTCATCCATGTTGAGAATTTGTAATATTTTTCTAAGAACAGTTTACCTTTAGCTTTAAAACATGATAGCTTCAGTGGATACATTTGATGACATAATATTAAGCAAACACAAGATAGGTAGGCTGACGATCCTTAATCCAAAAGTCTGAAATCTGAAATGTGACAAAATCTGAAATTTTTTGAGCGCCGACATGATGCTCAAAGGAAATACTCACTGGAGCATTTTGGATTTCCAGATTAGGGATGCTTGACCAGTAAGCATAAAGCAAATATTCCAAAATCTGAAACACTTCTGGTCCCAAGTATTTTTGGATAAGGAATACTCAACCTGTACTGAAATTTTCCTAAGAAAGCTATGCCATTTAAAACTGAGCCTGGCCGGGCGCAGTGGCCCACACCTGCAATCCTAGCATTCTGGGAGGCCGAGGCAGGAGGATTGCTTGAGCTCAGGAGTTCGAGACCAGCCTGAGCAAGAGTGAGACCCCGTCTCTACTAAAAATAGAAAAAAATTAACCAGGTGTGGTGGCACACGCCTATAGTCCCAGCTACTCGGGAGGTTGAAGCAGGAGGATCACTTGAGCCCAGGAGTTTGAGGTTGCTGTGAGCTAGGCTGACACCACAGCACTCTAGCCTGGACAACAGAGAGAGACTCTGTCTCAAAAAAAAAAAGATGTGGCTTTAATTTACATCTTTGATTTAAAAAAAAAAAAAGAAAAAAGAAACTGAGCTTGACATCCTGTTTTGAATATTGTGTGATATGCATGTCTGTGCATGTGTACTTAAGTAACTGCTTTTAATACATAACACAATCTAAAAAACCATGTGCACTGAGGGTTGGCAGAAAAATCAACCTGGTTGTCAAAAATCCTGGATTCCAGGCAGCTTTATCCCTCTGTCCCAATCCTGGGTCATTTCTCACTGAGAAAGTCCATACTTAATGATCAAGTCATTAAAAGGCAGTTTTCCTGGCTTACAGGACTTTAGACCTACATAAAGGTCATGAAATCCAACCTCCGTATTTTTTAGATAAGGAATAAAGGTTCAGAATAGTGAAATCATTTGCTGACTCACGGCAGAGCTGGAGCCAGAACCCAAGTATATTGACTCCTGACCTTTTTCCTCTAATAGGCTGTCTAGGTCAATCTCTTAAGTGTATCAGATAATTATAGGAAAACTAGAGTCAACCCAAGAATAACCTAGCGATCTAAAGTTGTGGAAAACTTGAAGTCTTAACATTAGCTCAATATTAATGTGAACAAGTTGTCTACGAAAATGAGTCTTCTCTCTTGCATGGAAAAATCTCAGTTAAACCAGGCTGAAATAGGTGTGGACTGTGTAGTTTGGAAGTAATTTTCCAATGCTCACACAGCTTGTAAGCAGCAGAATCATGACTTGAACCCAGGCATGTGTGATTCAAACTTACACTGTCTCCTGACGGCTTCTTGTGAAGCTTTTTTTAAATCTTCAGAAAAGTTGAAAGAATAATACATGTAACACACACCTGTTTAACAATTTACCAATTGTTAATGTTTTGCTACATCTGCACTTTTTCACTCTCTCTCCATACACAGAGGTTTGTTTATTCATTAGTTCTTCTGAACTATTTGAATGTTGCAGGCATACTTCAGCCTTAAATATCAAATTGAACCTACATTTTTGAACCACTATGCTATCTGCCTCTTTTTCAAAAGAAGCATTCATTAGCAACATGAGGTCAATCATTTGGATATGTTCCTCAAAAATCTGGAATGGCTACCCCTTCCTACCAAACATAGTCTAAAAACTTTAGTATAGTCCTCTCTCCACGAACGAGCCTGAAACTGCCTCTCTTTTGCTTCCTCCCATGCACCAGTGTTCCAATTACCAGTCCATCAAAATATTAAGTGGCCTGTGCTCCTCAGAGCCTTTGCTCATGTTGTCTTCAGTCTGAGATGTCTCTTCCTTCTCCCTCGGTCTATCTTGGTCCTTTTTTAATACTACAAGGCCCATCTCAAATGCTACAGGATAAGCGGGACTTAAACTTCTTAGGCTATGTTTCCCCACCATATTACACATAACTAGCACTTAAATTAACATATCTCTCAAACTACAGCACAATTTATAGGCAGGCACCAGGTCATCTTCACATATAACCCAGCACTTACCACAATGCCTCACACTTAGTATGTAGGGCTGTAGCTATGTTTACTGAAATGAATAAATAGGTCAAGTTTTAAGTAAATATAATTAAGACCAAAAAAAAAAAACCACCCCCTATTTCTAGTCACCACAATTAACAATGTCTACTTATTAATATGTCTGTAATGCAAAAAGAAACACCATAAGGCTTCTATCAGTATCTTCTATCTACAAGCACTATGACATACTGCTTCTAGTCTTAAGCCTAAACTAAGACAAAAATAATAAAATATCCAAGAAAATAATTTAATATAAAACCATGATCAAATAATTAGTTCCTTGCACAGTAATTCACAGCTTTCAAAAAGATTTCATATACATCTCCCAGTTGCCTACTCAATAAATTTGAGAAGGAGAATATGAATTCCTATTCTCCAGTATGAGAAAAATCAAGGTTTGGTCACTTGCTCAACTGGTAGGACTGGATTCTCAAACCACATCTTCCAATTTCCAAGTTTAGCTCTTTTTATAATACAATACTGTTCCCAAATTTGTTTCCATGCTAAGAAGTCCTAGGAGCTAATTCAAAGCACTAACCTGTGGCCAAGTACTCAACTCATTTCTGAGTCTATGAATAATTTTAATATGTGAAGGTAACAAACTGCTTAAAGGAATAAAAAGACCAAGACTGAAATCACTTTTGTTTTGTATTATATATATGAATTGGTAACATTTTCTTTCTTCTTCTTCTTCTTTTTTTTCGTATTAAAAGCAACAACATAAAATTTACCCCTGTAGCTACATTTTGGTGAGAATAATTAGCATCGCAGAAAAGAGTCAAATAAACCAAGCAAGCTCCTGCTTCCTCCATACTTTTGCTAGCCTAACTGGAATGCTCCTCCCCGGCTACACTCATGCCTTGCTCCCGCTGTTGAGTTTTTTCTCAAATGACACCTCATAAATCAGTTCCTTCCTAGACACAATACATAATATAAAATAGCACCATTGCCACCTCCATCCCTCCTGGGCCCCATTGCTTCCTTGCACTCCTATCCCCTTTGCTTTGCTTTATTTTTCTCCATGGCTCTTCTCACCATCCCATGCATCTACTTTTTCACTAATTGTCTGTCCTTCATGAGAGCAGTGACTTGCTCTGTTTTGTTTGAAGCTGTATCCCTAGTGCCTTGAATAGTGTCCAGAACCTAATAAGTGCTTAACAAATATTTGCTCGTGAATGATAGTTTATGCAGTAAGGAAGGAGTTAATTTCCCCATTCTCATCTAACTCAACAACCCCTCACCCTTCCACCTCAAACACCATAACCAAGCTTGGGTCAAAAACATAGTTTTGGCAAGCATCTACCTGGGGGGTTATACTTGCTACAAGTATGTCTACTCTCAAAAATCAGGCATAACCCTGAATATGTTTATCTCTGCATCTTCCCCTAGGAGGCAGTACACTACAGTACAATGATTTTCAAATACAGAGAGCTGTTAAAATGCAGATTCTTAGGACTGCCCCTGCAAATCAAAGGATAAGATCCAAGACTCTGCACCCTGGATGATACTGAGCCAGTGAGCATAGCACGACACTTGGAGAATCACTGGGTGTATTCTGGAAGTCAGACAGATCTCTACTCAGATCCCAGCTACATTGTTCAGCAGCTGCATGGCAATGGGTGAAAACTCCATTTTACTCAGCATCAATTTCTGACCTGTAAAATCAGGATAACATTACCTAACTTGCAGGGTTGTAAGGCCAACACAAGTACCTAGCGCAGTGCCTGGCACATAGCAATTACTAAATAAATGATAGGTATCAGTCTCTGTCCTTTCCTATGTCTTTCCTTGAGATTCCTGATGGAAAAAAAAAATGCAACTCATTTTTTTTCAACAGCTTTGGTCTTCCAATTCTTATCAATTTTCAAAACCAAGAATTTCTGCTTAATCCAATATTGGATATCACATTAGTTACGGATTTCACATAAAGAGCCATGGGGGCAAGGAGGAAAAAAGGTACTAGAATGGGTGTCAGGAAGGAGTTTGGAATGCTTCTGTGGTCCCCAATCTGCGCCAGGAAGGGGTCCAATCTGATATGCTATAAGTTTGGAGAGCTTGGTACAAGTCCTAGATTGGCAAATGACTTGCTGTTCAGTTTTACACAAGGCCCTGACCCTCTCTGTGTCTTCTCAGTGTCCCCATCTATCCAACTTAGTGTATGAGTCTGAAAGAAGTACAGGTCCTGTACTTCACCAGGTGTGTGATTTTAATAAGCAAGATAACCACGCCCTCCCTCCTCTCCAGATCTCAGTTTCTCCATCTACCCAAAGTGATGGTGGTGGCTCATATCTCCTCGGTCCCGCTCCCAGATATCTGGGTTCGAGATAGCTCAACTAGGACTGGAAGGAGCAGCAAAGTGCGTGGGCACCCCGCAAGATGTGTGAGGTGGAGGGTGGGCAGCCCTCAGCCCGAGGTGCGGGGCCCGAATCACCGGGGTAGAGTGCCACTTGCCCTGCCCCGGCCCCTGCCGGCCCGGGAAATAACTGCTATGCACGCCCACTTCCCACGGCGGGCCACGACGCCCGCGGCGACCGTGGGTCTGGGCTTCCACCACCTGGGACCCAAGCCAGGATGACCCGAAGAGGGGCCCGCTGACCGCGTGGCGGCCAGCACCGCTCCCCTCATCTTTCCCCGTCCGCTCCCCTCTTCTCACCTCTCCGGTCCGGGCCGCCCTAAGCGACAAGGCTCCGCGGCGCGTCCTCCGCCGTGGCCGGGCGCGGAGACACGGCGGTGGGTGCGGATACAGGCAGACCCGCCCGGCCCCCTTCCCCGCCCATCGCCCAGCCCCCGAGAGGAGCGGAAGGCAAAGCGGGGGCGAACGCCCGTGCCCGTGGCAGTCACGTGACTCTGCCGAGCGAGCGTCGCGGCCACCAGCCAATGACTGGGTCAGGACCGGCGAGGGTGCCGCCCCCTGGCCGCTCTCCTCCTCGCAATTGGCCGCCCTGGGCAGAAGGGTTCACGCGCCCGGCGTTCTTGGTTCTTCCCCCCCTGAGGCGCTCAGGCTTTGGCTGAGTGAGCCAACTACGGGTCGCGAGCGCTCTGCCTGGGGTTGTAACGTGCTCAGCGTGTACCAGCGGCCGCGTCGTTATCCCTGACTCCGTGGGGCCCGGTTCCCTCCCACGCGCTCTTGTATTACTAGAAGGGGAAATTGGGCCCCTGCGTGGGAGCAGGCTGTTGCCCCACAATAACTCATTTTCCACCAAAGATCCCGATAACCAGAAAGCTCTTTCTAAAATGTGACGAAAATGTAAAACTAAATGTAAGATATAATTCCAATCTTGTTTAAAACCCTCAGTGGCTTTCCATGCCGTTTATAGATAAAATCAAGCCCTGCCTATGCCCTGGAGGCCTTGCACGCTAAGGCGCTCCCCTGCTGTGTCTCCCCGTCCCTGCTGTCACCCACGCTGCCCTGTGCCCGCCAAGCGTGTTCTCTGTCGGGACCTCAACATTGGTTCCCGCTTCCTGGTGTCGTCTTGTCTCTCAGGTCTCAGCCCAAACGCCTGTCCTCTCCACGGAGAGGCCGTCCCTGACCACCCTACATAAACTAGCCAGCCAGTCACATCACTTCGTGCCCTCTTGATTTAATTATCTGCCCCAAACTGGTCAGTATCTGCTATTGAGTATGTATTAATTTGTTCATTGTTCACCTTGTTCGTAGCTTGCATGGGCCCGCTAGATGGTGTAGAGAGGACCTCTGAAGGAAGCAGGGTTAACTTCCTTCCCTTCCCTTCCCAGTGAACCTCTTCACGGTCATTTAAGGAACTCCTTTTCTTATGTAGAGATGATCCCCAAGTTTCTGTCACCCATCGGATTCAGAGTTTCCAAAAGTCACAAGCCATATCAGGAATCAGAACTGGGTTCTACTCCTGATGCTGCCCCTTATGGCCGGGGACAAATCACTTCATGTCAACAACCATCAGTGTTTCCACCTTTCAAAGGGTAGGTAATGGCCTGGCACCCAGGGTCATGGAGAGAGTCAAGTAAGGCGATCGGTGTAAAGTACTTTGTCCACTCGCTATAGGTTGCACGACCACCAGAATAGGAACAGTTGCCAGTTTCAGGATGTTTATCATATGCCTGCAGTAACTGTTTGTGTTCATTATTTTATTTAGTCCCCACAGCAGCTTTAGAGAAGTTGCTATATTATGTTTCTTCTTTTATGAGTGAGGAAATGAGATGTTAGGTAATGAGAACATTACCTAACATGGAATGAGGAAATGAGATGTTAGATGTTAGGGATGTTAGGTAACTTGCCCAAGGTCCCACAGTTTATAAGTGACAGCATGATTTTAACCCAGTCACATCTGTCTCCAAAGCCAACTCTCTTTAACAGTTACACTCACTGTGCTGTTCAAATGTAAGAATCTGCCCCCATCCTTGCATGTAACAAACACCAATAAAAGACTGGTCAGATTCAATAATGGCTATCATTCTCTTTTTCTTTCTTTCTTTTTCTTTTCTTTTTTCTTTCTTTCCTTTTTTTTTTTTTCCTTTGAGACAGAGTCTTCTCACTCTTTTGCCCCAGGTAGAGAGTGTAGTGGCATCAGCCTAGCTCACTGCAACCTCAAATTCCTGTATTTAAGCGATCCTCCTGCCTCAGCCTCCCAAGTAGCTGGGACTGCAGGTGTGAACCACAATGCCTGGCTAATTTTTCTATTTTTAGTAGAGACAGTGTCTCGCTATTGCTCAGGCTGGTCTTGAACTCCTGAGCTCAAGCAATCCTCCCGCCTCGGCCACCCAGAGTGCTGGGATTGTGGGCGTGAGCCACTGTGCCCGGCCTCTTGTTTTCTTTCTTTTATTCCATGCATATTAATTATTAATGTGCATTATAGATAAAGAAATTGGAGCTCAGAATATTGTTACTTACCAAGGTCATGTAGCCCAGTGATCCCCAACCTTTTTGGCACCAGGGACCAGTTTCATGGAAGACAATTTTTCCATGGATGGAGCGGGGTGGTTTTGGGATGATCCAAGTCCATTACATTTATTGTGCACTTATTTCTATTATTATTATATTGTAATATATAATGAAATACTATACAACTCACCATAATGCAGAAACTAATGCCGCCACTGATCTGAGAGGAGACAGAGCTCAGGCAGTGATGCTTGCGATGGGGAGCAGCTATAAATACAGATGAAACTTCACTTGCTCTCCCACCATGCAGCCCGGTTCCTAACAGGCATGGACCTGAACTGGTCTTTGGGCCCTGAGATTGGGGACCACAGATGTATTAATAGCCAACAAGTAATGGATTTTGAAGTTTGAGCTGTCAGAAGCCAAAGCCCAAGAGCATGCAGCTATGCCCCACCAGGGAAAGGTGCTAGAGAAGAAGCTGTAAGTCAGCCATTGGTGCCTCTCTCCCTCCTAGTTCAGCCTCCCAGGCTGCTGTTTAATTTTTGTGGTCCCTCCTGGCCCTGCACACATACCCCCAGGGACTCCATGGATCTAGACATTGGTCTGCCACGGTATCTTACCTTTACTGACGCTCCAGTGTTCTGCAGCAGGAATCAGAGGGAGGAAACAATAACCAAATCCCTGCTAATGGAGAGCTGGCTAATAATCTGTTTTTCCTCAATAACAGCAGGTCAGCAGCCCAGCCAGCCAGCACCTACATCTCTGTACTCCTCCTGTCTAAGCCTGGCATTTTCCCTCCTATTGGTTTCAGGGTTCATAGGGGTGGCTGACAGCCCAAGGGCCACGTTTTATAGCCTTACTCTGTCACAAACAGCTTTTCCAAAGAGTAATTAATGATGTATTCACTGAGGACATCGTGGGCCAGCAAAGAAGTCATTTCAGGGTAGGAGCCACTTTAAGATTCACCTCCTCAGCACCTGATCACCCACCCTCGCCAGGTGGGACAGGTCACTTCCTCCGAGGCCCCAGTGGACCATGCACTGACTCCCGCTATTGAATGGGCTATTCCTGGTGTGCTATCCAGGATTCATTTGCACTGCTATAGGTGTTTAACTTCTTTTAAAAAATATTTTAACTTGATTGTTCTTGGAAATAGGTAACACTTAAAAAGTAGAGTAAACAAATTCAAAAGGTCAAAGAGTTTACAGTGAAAGGTAAATCTCCCACTCTTACACCTGTGTACTTTTCATTTTACCTTTTTTTATTTTTCTTTTTCTTTAGTAAAGCGAGGCACATTGACCCTGTCTACCTTGCTAGAGGCAAACACAGCACCCGTTTCCTGTGTTGCCTTCCAGATTTATTCTAGACCAGCAGTTCTCAATTCTCACTGCTCATTAGAATCTTTCTTTCTTTCTTTCTTTTTCACACTTCTCTTATGTAGGAATATGCTCATTAGAATCTCTTGGGAAACTTTTAAAAGATAGCGATGATGTTCGAGTCCCACCCCCGGACATTATCATTTAATTGATATAGCGTGGGCTCAGACATTCATATTTTTTAAAAGCTCCCCCCAGGAGATTCTAAGCACACCTAGGGTTGGCAAACCACTATTCTGTACATATACAAGACTCTCTCTCTCTATATATAAATTTTTTAAACAAAAGGAGCATATAAAATATACCATTCTGGTTTTTTAAAATGATACCTTGAAGATCATTCCAAATCAGTGCATAGAAAGTTGCTTTTGGGTTACCTATTGCTGAGTAAATCACTCCAAAGCATAGTGGCTTGAAACAATAATCATTTTGCTTTTTCTCACAGTTTCTGCGGGCCAGGAATTTGGTAACGGCTTGCCTGGGTGGTTCTGGCTTGGGCCCTCTCAGAGAGGTGCAGTGTACCCTTGATAGTGGCTTGAGTTGGGACGGAATGGAGACTGAAGCAGCTGACAGCTGTCTGGACAGCTCTTTCCTCCCTCATGCAGTCGCAGGGCCCCTCCTTATGTCTGTCTGTAGAGGCTGGTTTGAACTTCTTCACACCATAGCAGTTTCAGGGCAGTCTGTGCTTTACTGGTAGCTGAAGGCTTCAAGAGCTAGTGTCTCAGCTCCATACAGCTCTATAAAGGCTATACAGGGGGACACCGTATATGTAGCCTGTTGTGATCTAGCCTCAGAAGTCACACAGCTTCACTTCTATTTCAGTCCATTGGTTGAAAGTCAACAATTTGCCCAATTTCGAGGGGAAGGAAATAGACGTCAAATGTCAATGGGTGAAGTGACAGAGTCACATTGCAAGAAGGACATATGGGATGGGAAACATCGTTATGGTTGTCTTTGGCTACAGCAGCTGCATAGTATTCCACTGTTTGGATATATCATCATTTATTTAAGCATTGATGGACATTTATGTTGTTTTTATTCTTTCAATATTACAAACAGTGCTTTGAATGATTAGAGGAGTGTTTCCTCTGCCCCCTCCCCCAGTCCCTAGAGGGGCTTGGGCCTTTATGATCACTTTGTGATCACCACGTGGAAGGGCAGAGAGCAGCTATTCTCAAGCTCAAGAAAGCAACTCTGCTCTTGGCCTTGCAGAGAAATTAGGCTGAATTGTTCCAGCAGGGCCGAGAATAGAAGGCCACATGGTCAGGGAGAAGGGAGATTTTTGAGAACTTCTCCCACGATTGAGATGGGACTGGGCTTTGCAGGATCCTGGGGCTCTCCCCGCCCTGGAGAGGTGGGAGGGTCTCCTACAAGGGTGGCTGTTGGTGCTCCAGGGAGGCTGGAGCCTGGGGTAGGAGTCCTAGCCCTAGTAAGAACCCCGATCCCCGACTAAGAGCAGAACTGCTAGCCTTTCCAGGGT